TTAGATGGACCTGGGAACCCAATTAACCCAAGGCGCATTAACCCATAGAAGTTTTATCAGTTTGTTCTTTTTAATTTTTTTAAGTGTGTGGGTGTTTTGCCTGCATATATGTCTGTGCACCGCTTGTGTGAATGGTCCCCCCATACGCCAGAAGAAGGTATCGGGTCTCTTGGAATTGGAGTTACAAATGGTTGTGAGCCACCATGAAGGTGCTAGGAATCAAATCCAGGACCTCTGGAAGAGCAGCCAGTGCTCTTAACCACTGAGCCATCTCTCCAGCGACAAGTTTTGTTCATTTTTTGTGTATACAAGGCTCTCCACAAGACAGTCTAGCTAAGTATGATGGCACAGACTTTGTAATCCCAGGATTCAGGACACAGAGGCAGGAGAATTGTATTTGAGGCCCGGCTGAGATACATAAGAAGTCCCTGCTCACTGCCGCCCCCACATAGCCAGCACAGTGGTGCAGGCTTTTAATCCCAGTACTCAGGAAGCAGAGACAGCAGATCTCTGTGAGTTCTAGACCTGCATGCCAAGTTCCCTTCTCCAGAGCAGATGTTCTCAAAAGAAACAAACAAATAAACAAACAAAAAATACAGCGGAGGAGGGCTGAGGTGTAGCTCGGTTGGCAGAGTGCTTGCTAACCACCACAAAGGCCTGCATTCAGTCCCCAGCAGCACATAACACCAGGGCATAGTGGCAGATGCTTGCAATCCCAGCTCTCAGGTGGGGGTGGAGGATCAGGAGTTCACTCATCTCCTGCTACATGGTAGCTGGAGGGCTGCGGTGGAGTCCAGAAACAGCAGAGTCCGTAGAAATGGCCAAGAAAGATACTTTGAGAGTTTCTAGATGAATAATGACCCTTTTTAAAGATTTACTTATTTATTACGTATACAGTGTTTTGCCTGCATGCATGCCTGCACGCCAGAAGAGGACACCAGATCTCATTGTAGATGGTTGTGAGCCACCGTGTGGTTGCTGGGAATTGAACTCAGGACCTCTGGAAAAACAACCAGTGCTCCCAACCTCTGAGTCATACTCCAGCCTGATACATTTTTTTTTTTTTTTAAAGAAATGACAGGCTGGAGAGATGGCTCAGCAGTTAAGCACTAGCTATTCTTCCGGAGGGCCTCGGTTCAGCTCCCAGCATCCACACGGCAGCTCACAACTGTCTGTAATTCCAGTTCCAGAGTATCACCAATGCAAATAAATAAAAATTTTAAAAAGAGAGAAAGAAATGACAACAGGGCTGGAGAGGCTGCTCAGCAGTCAAGAACACATATTGGTCTTTTCTTAATAATTTCTTTAATTTATTTTTTGTGTGTGTATATGGGTGTTTTGCCTGTGTGTGTGTCTGTGTTCCGTGTGCTGCCTTGTTGCCCACAGAGGCCAGGAAAGGGCACACTGGAGTTTCAGATGGTTGTGAGCCCCCATGTGGGTGCTGGGAATACAGTCCTTGTCTTCTGAAAGCAGCAAATGTTCTTAACTGCTGGGCTACCTCACCCACACATACTGCTGTTGCAGAAGACCCAAGTTAGATTTCCAGCACCCATACAACAATTCCAAGTTGCCATCACTCCAGACCCATGGATCCAATGCCCTCTTCTGGCCTCCGTGGGCACCTGCACACAGGTACAGACACACAGACACGCACACAGAGACACACACACAAATACACACGTACATAATTTTAAAAGAATTTATCTTCAGCTGATTCAGTTTCTTTCAGAGCAGAACAAAAATTAGGGGAAAAAAAATCAAAGCCAAAGCCTACAGCTGTGGGCTCAAAGTCCTTCTGGTGCAATAGCAACTTTCAACCAGCCTGGCAGAAGCTGCAAGGACTTCTGGTCATTGTTAAAGTCCCCGGGCCCAGAAACTGCTGGTCTTGGTTACTCACAGGGAACTCTGCTGGCTCTACACCCAGAAACAATCAACCAGTTATGCAGCTGCGTAGACAAGGCTGGACAGTTCCGCAGCTGCATAGACAAGGTTGCACTTCGACTTTCAACCTTGCCCAACACTGGATAAAAGCCTCTGAGGACAAGTTCACATCTCACTCGGGTGACAGTCTAGGAAAGCACCTAGAACTCACCCCAGAGACCTGAGTTCTGGTCCCTGTTTTGCCCATTAACTCCCTGTGAAACCTCAGCCCCTCATTTTCTCTTTCCTGTCCTCATTTTGCCTCTAGAAAAGATTCAAGGCTTTGACAGTGTGACCTCCAAGGTCCCCTCTCCGCTCGGCTCTGGGTTGCTCCAGATCCTCGCTTGCGTTAGGTATGCCTGGGACAGGGTCCAAGCAATTCCTAAAGGGGTCAAACAGATTAACCATTGGCCTGGGTCAGTTCCAGTTAATTCAAAAATTAACCTAGTTCCATGTTTTCTCTTTTAATCTTTACCAGGCATAACTCCGGTGGAGAGGTCCTGCCTGCATGGCTCAGGTGCCATTCTCTGTCCCTCCGAGTCATAGTACTCCATCCCCTGCAACTTTTATTATCCCCATTAAATCTACCAGTCCTTACTTCCTCCATCAACCCTCTTCTGACTCCTCCATGCCCTATGACATAGCCCCTCCAGCCACCTCGCCACACTCCACTGTATATCAGTGCAGAGCTGACTGTCTGGGGTCATGGTGACAATGCCCTATGGCTTTCTTCTTGCTTGGCTACTGTCCTTGGAAGTAGAAACCATACTGTGTTTGATCCTTTATCCTATGAACCTGTGCCTGACACAAACTCATTGTTGAGATGCCCAAACATTTAAGATTTGTTTTGTTTGTTTCTAAAAATTTTTCAACCCCTAGCCACTAGGAAATATGTTCTTAACCACTTCAGAGCAGCTACAGCTCTCTTAGATCCTTGGATCTTCCTAGAAACCCCATGAGACAAGCTGATCATGACAAATAAATCCCAGGTCACATGAAAGTGGAGCCAGAGAGCAGGTTGGTGGTAGAACCCAAAGGAGATACCAGGGTTCTTGACTCCAGCCACGGCTTTGGAGAATGTAGCTATTGCCTGGTGAGGAAACGTAGCTTGGAGACTAGGAGATAGTTCAGCTGGCAGAGTGCTAGTCTTCGTGGCATAGATAAAGGCCCAGTGTTCAGTCCTCAGCACCACATGAACTGAGCGTGGTGGTGCACACCTGAATCCCAACACTTGGAAAGTGGAGGCAGGAGATAGGAGGTTCCGTCATCTTTGGATACAAAGCAGGTTAAAGCCAGTGCCTGGGCTCCATGAAACAAGGAGGAGGGGGGAGGGGAGAAGAGGAGGAGAAGACCAGAGGAGGAGGAAGGAGGAAGGACGTGGGGAGGAAGGAGAAGAGGAGGAGGGAGGGGGAAAGAAGGAAAAGGAGTGAGGAAGGAATGAAGGGGAGGAAGGAGGAGGAGGAAGAGGAGGAGGATGGAAGAGGGAAGAAGGGAATGAAGGAGGAGGGAAGGAGGGGAGGAAGGAGGAGGAGGAAGAGGAGGAAGAAGGAGGAGCAAAGAAACCATAGCCTGAAGCTGCCCCCGTCCAACATGTAAAGACACGCTCAGAAATATCTTCACGCTGCAGCCTGCTGGAGGCTTCATCCTGTAGACTCTAAGACTGTCTCCTCTTGCTGTTACGTCATCATCATCATCATCATCATCATCATCATCATCATCATCATCATTGTTCTTGAAAGAAATAATAATCCAGGGCAGTTCCTGGGCAACCCACAATGCATTTCCTCCAAGGGCCCAGGAGACTCTGAACTGGAGACCCTACTTAAACGGCATAGGTAGTGTTTGTGATGAGAGAACATGGCTCCATGCATGATGGACAGATTGACAGCTTCTAGAAAGACCACCACCGTCTTTACGGTTTTTGAGACAGGGTTTCTCTTTGTAGCTCTGGCTATCCTGGAACTCCCTCTGTAGACCAGGCTGGCCTCCAACTCACAGAGCATGGTCTTCTTAACAAGACACTGAATTTAAACTGGTGGTGGTGGTGGTGGTGGTGGTGCACACCTTTAATCCCAGCACTTAGGAGGCAGAGGCGGGCAGATCTCTGTGAGTTCGAGGCCAGCCTGGGCTACAGAGCAAGTTCCAGGACAGCCAGGGCTACCCAGAGAAACCCTGTCTTGTAAAACAAAAACAAACAAAATGCTACAGGTGAGATGGTTTAGACAACACATACATTTTTCTCTCACAGTTCTAGAGGCTGGAAGCCAGAGATGAAGGCTTCTTCAGGTTCAGTTTCCCCCTCAGCCTCCTTCTTGGCCTTGCAGTGACCAGCTTTTCACTCACCCTCATATCTGCCCACACAAAATCTAGCTGCCTTTGTGTGTGCCAAGTTTCCACTGTTTTATAAGGACCTCTTCGAGGGACTGGAGAGATGGCTCAATAGTTAAGAGCACTGGCTGCTCTTCCAAAGGATCTGGGTTCAATTCCCAGCACCCATATGGCAGCTCACAACCACCCATAACTCCAGTTCCAGGGGATCTGATGTTCTCTTCTGACCTCCTCTGGCAACAGGCAAGCACATGGTAAGTAACATGCATGCAGGCAGAACCCTCATACATGTAAAATACAATAAGTCTAACAAAAAAGAACATCGTGAATGAAACACAATCAGTCCATAACTGAAAATGTATACAGCACCCCAGGATACAAATGAAAGGTGGTCTCTCTGGGAAGCTGTCAGCCTGTCCATCATGCATGGAACCACATTCACTCATCACAGTCACATTCATGTGCTTACTCATATGCACATGACTATGAGGTGCAAGTATAGACAGACAGATGTGTGTGTGTGTGTGTGTGTGTGTGCTGTTGTGTTTTATCTGCATGTGAGTGTGGTATAGAAATGATACACAGAGTCATGTGTGTCTGCAGGTACCCCCACCCTGAAAATGTGCATGTGTGAAGATCACTATTCCAGTGGGCATAAATGTTTCTTATTCAGTATTCATTCAGTTCAACAAAGATGTGCTCCTATTGTAGGCACTGTACAAGGCTCTAAGAACAAAAAGAGACACAACAGATCGATGGACATACACCAGGGTACTTGGAAGGCAGGCATGGTTTTCAACACAATGCAGGTATCTAGAAGCTCTAAAAATTAGATGCACATTAGAGCCCACAGCAAGCTCACATACATCAGAAAGTATCTCTTTCAACACAAAAAGCATTGCTCTGGACTCTTCAAACCCTCCACATCAGATAACAGTGGCATCCTCGGGCAGCTCTTCGGGTGGCCGTCTAGAGGCTGAAGTGCTGGGTGGCCTGTCGTCACAGCCGCTCCACCCATGGGGAGGCGAGGACATTTTTCCGATAACAGGGCACAGAGAGTCCAGACCACTGGAAGCCATCTGAGCTTCACGTGCTTTTATGATTTCACTGTTAATGTTTGGCCTTGGGTTATTTCTGCTGTGGGAGGTAAGCCAGGAAGGGCAGGAAGGAGCCGAGGGTAGGGGAGATAAGGTGCCAGGTCACCTGCAGGAGGCACCTGCCCTGGCACCACCGTACTTGCAGAGTTCCAGGTCCTGCCAAAGGAAGGAAATTCCCAGTCAGGAAGAGAGCAATGACCTCTCTGGGAACATAAGAGAAAAAGACAGACTTTCATTAATGATCCCCAGTAACTCAGCTGCCCCTCTGCAAACTCTTAGAGTCCCAAGAAACAGCTACACCCATATTTGTCAGCATGCGCTTAGTTTCCTCCCAGAATACAAGCAGCTCTCTACCACCAAAATGCCTTCTTAATAGTGTCTCCTTTAGGCCAGGCGTGGTGGCCCACATCTTTAATCCCAGCACTCAGGAGGCAGAGGCAGGAGGACCTCTGAGTTCCAGGTCAGTCTAGCCTACATAGTGGGTTCCAGACCAGCCAAGGTTTCACAGAAAAACTCTGTCTCCAAATAATTAATTTTTTTAAAGATTTATTTATTATGTATACAGCATGTATGACCAGAAGAGGGCACCAGATCTCATTACAGATGGTTGTGAG